AAAGGTATCTGCTATCTCTTACCTTTGAGGTATTGTCATTTATCAATGGTTGATGGGGTTTTGTTGAATACATTGTTTTCTCTACATATTCACTTGCATAAAAGACTGACCAAATTTTTACCCTTTCCTAAATTATGGCATAAATTTCAGGAACACATTTTTGTATTTATCATGTTTCAAAACTTTATAAAAATTTTTTCAGCACACGGAAGTCTAAATCTTTTCCCATCTCCCAGACTGAAAACACCTTGCTTTCTTTTCCTATTTTCCTTACATCTACTTACACTCCTGTGTGATTGCTATTAGTAATCAGTGTCATTTTCCAATTTCAGAGCTAGGATCATAGTGTTTGAGGAAGAGAAGTTAAGAATGTCCTCTATTTGTTTTTACCATAAAGAAGAAAAAAGGTTTTATTTTTTCCTCCATAGACAGACTCTTGGTAGGTTTCTGATATGTGTTTCCAATATCTCAAATTTTAAATGAAGTAATATATCCTAACTGTCCCATTTCAAGAGTCACAGCTGTCACTAAGGCACATATTCAATCTAACACAGAAAAGAAATAACCTGGAATGATCCATGTTTTTTCTGTGTTGAATTGGCTTAAAGCCATATATGTCTAACTACTAAAGGATACACACACACACACACACACACACACACACACTCTTTACATAGATATAAAAGTTATGTATCTTTTATTTAAATTACACAAACCTCTAGTGATAATAATTAGAGATTTAAGGCAGGCATGATAAATACTTTTAAAGTTCTGTCAACTCTGCTGATATAATATTATAGTGCTGAGAAGCATGTTGTGTTGGGAAGTTTCTGAGGCCATGAGAGGGTTCAGTAGAAAGGTGTATCATGATCTCTTAACTAAGTTGGTAACTTAGCTATTGGAACAAGTAATAACATAATCTATTTGTTACCTGTGACTTAAATCTAACTTCCTGTTTGCGTAGAAACTCTTCCTTTCATCTTCTTTTTTTTAACGAAAGGATATATAAACACACATTCAATGAGCAGAATTTTGCTAAATGCTTCATAATTTCTAAGTATGAGACAATGGAGTATGTTTCAATCATGAGTTAATAATCATGCATTAGTAAGACTTACTAATTAAATTTAATTATCTGGGAGGCCGAGGCGGGCAGATTGTTTGAGCTCAGGAGTTTGAGACCAGCCTGAGCAAGAGTGAGATCCCCGTCTCTACTAAAAAAAAAAAAAAAAAAATAGAAAGAAATTAGATGGAGAACTAAAAATATACAGAAAAAATTAGTTGGGCATGGTGGCGCATCCCTGTAGCCCCAGCTACTTGGGAGGCTGAGGCAGTAGGATCACTTGAGCCCAGGAGTTTGAGGTTGCTGTGAGCTGGGCTGATGCCAAGGCACTCTAGCCCAGGCAACAGAGTGAGACTCTGTCGCAAAAAAAAAAAAAAAAAAAAAAAAAAAAAATTAATTAGAGGTGAGACTCAGCCAATTTAGAAAAATAAAACACAGTGTCATTATTTTGAAGTAACCAACTGAATAGTGTTAGAAAAAAGGAAGTTGTGCTCAGGGTATGAGGGAATACTATTCACAAACTATGGTGTAAATGTCACCACCTAGAGATCACAAGACACAACCTACACAACAGTATGTGGCAGTCCTGGTGTCTGAACTATAAAAGAAAGAAATAGTATAAAATATAGTAATGACAATATTTGTTTCCCTCTTTATAGAATATAAAAAGAAGGGGAGCATATTAACATTATTGAAGTATATATTAGTTTAGGATTTTATATCTTTTTGTCATTATTTATCAAATAATTTATTTTACAATCCTAACCTGTATTTTTAAGACAAATCAGAAAATACAAGGGATACTAATACAGAATCTCCTCAAAGCATTAGAGATTTAAAATTAGCAATGTTCAAATTAAAGATGTCTTACTGACCTGAGGTACTTGTTTTGATAAGACTATAGTGTCTGAATGGAGACCAGCAGGCTGGGAGTTTTCCCTAGAGCAATAATAATTCTTTTGTCTTTAACAATTCATTTGAAGGGCTGAAACGGGCTTGTTTTTCAACATCCTAAAGCATTCAGACATTTCACGAGGAATTGTATGTTCTAAAGTTGGTAGTCTTGGATGATTAGAACCCCTGGACATAGAGTGAGTTGGGTAAATTTTGGATAACATACAGGACATAGAGGAAGGTAAAAAGTTCTACCATGGAAAGACACTCTGTTTTGCAGAGGAAGGAGATGTCAGTGGAATTCCAGAGTCCTACCCTTCCCTACATTAGCCTTCTGTGTTATTCCAGAATGCCTCTTACTGGTTATAATTCCTTACCTATGCTGTTTGTAAATGTTAGTGTACAAATATCGTTAGCATTTCTGTGGACTTTAATATTGATATCAAAAGAGACCCCAAGTGATTTCCTATGAAAAAAAAAAATTTCTGCCTCTTGTGGTTCTGGCAATGGTTGAAGGAGACAGATACCACCATCGTTTGTTTGCTGCTGAGTCAAGAAAAGCAAATGGGGAAAATTTGTCAGGTAAAAAGACTTTCATTGGTGGCAAAATTTACTAATACAACATTGAGGGAGATATCAGAATAGCCTTCATGGCATTTATTAATATATTCTAATAGGAAACCAATAATGAGCAAATAAGTTTATATATATTTAAGTATAGAGAGAGAAAGAGAAAGAGAAAGAAAGATTATATATGAAGGTGATAAGAACTATGAGGAAAACAGATAAGTAAAGAGAGCTAGAGTATAACAGGACAATAAATTGAAATGTTAAATAAGGTGGTCAGCGATATTGTGAACAAAATATAATAGGATTGTGTGATTGAAGGTAATAGAGGCAGCTATTTTAGACTGTGTGTTTGGGGTAGAATTTCCTACAAAGTCAACATTAGAATTGACATCTGAATGCCAAGGAGATAGCCATGTCAATACTCATCAAAGGCCCTTCGTGAGCAGTGAGCCAAGAGTGGTGGATGAACAAAAGTCAGCACGTCTCGAGCACAGTGAGTGAGCAGTTGATATACAGAGATGAAATCACAGAGACAGGCAGGGGCAGGTCATCACATCAGCCAACTTAAGACTTTCATTCTTCATCTGGGTCTGTATATATGATGCATCTTGATTGTAGGATACCGTTCCCCAAATGTCACCAGGACAACTATTTTATCCCATTGCATCACTCCTGGCACCTTTTAGTTGGCCCATCCCACCAGTCAGACCACCAAATATTTATTGTTCCAGGCATGATGCAAAATGATGGGGATACAGTGTTGGCCAAGAGAGACACAGCTAACATTACCCTCAGGCTATACATGTTTCAATGGAGAAGATAAAAATGAAATGATTACAAGTATCATGATGTCTAAGAAGTGAGCAAGTGAGATGTATTGCTGACATTTATAATAAAGGAGTGTTAACCTAACCTACAGAGTAGATCCAATATGTTTGTACCAATAAAATACCATTTTGTGTTGCATATTTTACCTGAGAAAGTCATTCCTAGATCTTTCTATTTACTATAATAGTATAAGAAATTAAGAACATTCATTGATATAGTGCTTTATAATTTTCTAAGTCCTTTCATATGCATTGCCCAATTTAATATTTATAATAACTATGATAGAGGTTGATAAATTATAATTATCTTCATTTTTAAGATAAATAAGCTGAAGCTCTGAGAATTGAAATGACTTGTCTACAGTCATGAAATGAGTTAGTAATGTAAGCAGTCCTAGTCTGTTCAGCTAAATATAGTAAATTTTTTTACTTAATAGAGCACTAGGCCTTTAGAGGCAAAAGGAAGAGAAATCATAGTATACTCATTCTTAACAAATATGAGATCTGTTTAGGGAGGTATATAGGTGAGCACCAGATAATAAATTGTGCAGAAATTCTGTGTGCATGTGAAATTAAGGAATAATCTGAATGGTCTGAGATTATTCAGTTACCTTGCCATGATAGAAATTAATTTTTAAACTGGACATACAAAGAGATTATGTGGCTAGCTCTTGATGCCTTTACATTCTGGAAATTCTATGATTTCTTTTTTTTCTCCCATTGTCAAAATTGCTGCCAATCAACAAAACTTATCCACCATTTCCTCTGAATTTATTGCTTAATTCAGAAATCTACTGTTTCTTCACTGTGCAAATTAATCTTAGCTACTCTCTTTCTCTGCTGAAGACTCTGCCAGACACTCCAGAAAACTTTACTCAGCATTCTCTTCTAATTATCTTATTCCCAGCTCTAAGCCTGATGCCAAGATTTCTATTTGAACAACCTCTTCCTAGAATGCTAAATTGTCAACTTTTAGGAAAGTTTCATTCATTTAACATTCCTCTATTTCTTAGAAAATCAATAAAGAGTTCTACTCGATATGCAACCCTGCGTCCCCTGCCCTACTAAGTGAACATTCTCTGTTGCCTTCGCTTAATGCAGTGAGTTTATTTTTCCAATTTTTGCTTGAAGTCAACAAATGTCTAGCTCTATTAAATTGATTATTTTATACTATGTTTTATACTGAGCCAGTACCTGGCATATCATCACATAAAAATGCATTTGATATTTTAAAATAATATCATTGACTTCTTTTAAATATCATATATTTAATCTCTTTCCTCTTCTATCACACCTGCAAATGTTTTTTCTATTAATTATAAATTGATAAGACATGTCAAGTGATTAAGACACACAAAAAAAGTGTACAACTTCAGTTATACATTTGTGTTTATATGTTTGCTTTATTCTTCATGGCTATGAACTGAGGCATGGCATGTAATATACCGAAGACAAATACTGCTGTCAAACCATCACTATGTGACGACATACCAGGTCCTGTGCTAAGTGTTTTTTTATATCCTATATTATTTTAGATAATTAGTTTGCAATATGAGTTTCCTTTTTAAAAGTCAGTGAATTTCAAAGGCACATTTCAAAATAGAAACTGATGAGAAATATCTTTGTAAAAAGTGAAAAACACTTACGGGAACCAGGAACTTTTTAATTTCTTCCAATGCATGACTCATACGTGAATAAGCTTCCCCAGGTGGAGCAAACACTTCAATTAATACATGAAGTTCATCACTCAAGTGGGCATATTTGGCTTCCCCACTCTTCCTTAATTCTTCTTCCTGTGAAAGAGGTTATTTTTAGAAATACAAACCCATTCATTTTGCATTGATTTAACATTTACTGAGAATATGACAAAAGGGCATAATTTAAGCAAATTTTCCGTAAGTGGAAATAAACCCTTTGAGAAATAAAAATCTGCTACAAGCCATTTAGAGATTTTAAAATCATTTTCAAGTGTTTGAATGATTTAAAAAAAACCCTGGCATAATTATCATCTACAACAGATTTTAATCAGCTAAATGAAAATGCTAAACTCATGAAAATATATCACGGAAATGGCATTAATTCTTTAATGTTCATCACTACATTCTGAAGAAAAGGATTTTTTCCCTGTGTCTGATGTGCAATTTGCAGATAATAAGTGAAAGATTGTCACTGTGGTCTTTAAGAAAACCAGAACTTTCTAGCTACTTTTTGAGAAATGAGAAAGTTACTTGTTTGTGATAAAAGGTGAGCTAAGTACAAAAAACCAAAGCTTATCTCCCAACCGATGTTCCACTGGCCCAGATTATTATCAAGATTTATATCCACATCTTTTCTATCATTTACTGCCTCATTTTGATCAATAGGGGTAAATTAAAGGGATGATGGTTTGACATTATGGTAGCATTGATTCTGCATGAGCTGCATAACTTCTGCTTAACCAACAATACATTTCTACTGGAAGAGATTTTTCATAGTACTGTGCCTAAGCCCTTATTGAAGCCTGATTAATTCAGTACAGGTGCAGAGCAAATTAACATTTGATACATATATTTTGTTAATGTTTGCTAAGTATTTTATACATATCATCTTTAATTCCACAATCAGTTTGCATATATTTCAGATTAGGAAACTGAGGTAAGAAGATTTAAGTAGCTTCAGCAAAATTGGGATTCAAACTCCACTCAATTTGCAACCAGATTTGCATTTTTTAGAATTTCAAAGAAGCCAAATTTGGTTAAAAAGTTAACATAAATAATATTGATTATGTTTTACCTTTCTTGCCCCCAACAGTTGTTAGTGAAACTACAGTAGTTATTTCACTAAATTTCAAAGGATATGAATAAACAAGTAATTCTTAGTTTTATATGGAGATTAAATAGAAAAGTGACATAAATAGAACGAAACTGAACCAACAAAGGCAAATTTGCTATAGATTTTATGTGAGTTAACTGCATAACCCATGCTAATGTGTTTATCTGAATAGAAATGCCTAGCCATTCAATACACGAAGGCTCCATGAAAGAGACGGGGTGTCCTTGCTTTCCTGTAGATACACCCATCACCTACTCAGACCTCTCTGAAAATAGTCCCTTTCAGCCTGGGAATCCACTCTCCACTTCTCTAAGCACACTTTCAAACTCTAACTGGGACTTTTTACTTAAGGACTTTTCCTAGTGCCCAGTTCTCAGTTTGGGGAGGAGAAGGAGAACTTGACTTCACAAAAATACACCCATGAGGTATAGTAAACATTTATTTTCTCTGTGGGTCCTGCTGGGATGCAAGCTGCTTGTTAATTCTGGGGCCAGCTTGGTTTGGGCATAAGTACAGGAGTAGTTAATTCACAGGTCTCTTGATACTGTCCCTTTCTCATTACTTCCTATGTTGATTTCCAGCTGGTTATTTTTGTGTCACTCTCTCCTTACACCTGGAATTTCCTAGGGAATTTCAAATAATTTTCACCTCTGTTAAAGGCAGTGACAAAGTAATTGAGCGATATTTTCTAGAGTGGTACGACCAACTAATTATGGAGCTCAACAAAATAAAGGGAACATCAGTTAATCGATCCCCCATCCTTAGAAGGCACTGTTGTGAGGATCATTTGATACTTGGAATGACCCTTTGGAATCACATCTTCTTTAGTAGCAGTGTGCTCAAGAATTTTATAAACATGCAATGCTCTTTATAGGGGAATTGTAGTGAAAGAAATTGTTTCTATCTTCTCAAATTAAGAACAGTAGCCACCTGCTTTCGCATTTTTATAAAGAATATGCCATAAATTATTCATGATGTGATATAGACTATACATTTCTCCTTTGTCCTACTCCACATGCTAGTTAGTGTTTTGCCCCTCTAGATTCTCCTGTAAGGCCTCCCACCAACACTACCACCAGAAAGAACTCTTGAGTAACTGAGGTGATGATCTCCTCATCAGCTTTTAAATATCTAGATGTACACATAATATATGATAACATATATGATATATATGTAGTCTTTTCTTAAATATCTAATTAGAGAAGCAATCTTTACTAACATCTGTTAGACTGACTCATCACATTAACCAAATATTTATTATTCCATAATAATAAATTTGATAAATAATTACTATTTGATATGTTAAATTGAATGGGAAGGGTGTCAAATAAGAAAAGCTACTTAAACTTCCCTATATTTGTATGGGTAAAATATTATTATTTCAGAAATTGTATGAAGTTACTAGAAATTTGCCAAGGTCTTTGCGCTCCCTGATATGTCCTGATACAATGTTGTCAGTCACAATTCTGTAATTTAAATGTTGGATTTTACAGAAACACCAAATTCCCTTGTCAATTGTATTAAAATGAACTTCCCTTGGGTTTTTAACTATGGCAATTTTAATCTTTTTGTGATTCACAGATAATTACTGTCTTATTTTGATGCTTTCCTGAAAGCTCCTGCAATCAGTTAGTAGCCAGAATGCTTTGTCTTCAACAAAAAGGGACTCCCTTTGAGATCCACGGAAAGGACTATGACAGGTACTCTCGGACACAGGCTTCCTATGTCATTGTTTAAATAATTTTAAGATCATCCCACTTCACTGAGTAAGGATTTTCAGAACTCTAGTGGAGCAGCTGAGGGGTTCATAAAACTCCTTATAAAATTAGGAAGAATAAGAATTTATTATATGGGTCTCAGTAGACTGATAAAAGATGATTATAATTTTTTATGGTCTTTGTTTGAAACATTGCTGGTTCTTTAATGTTCAATTTTTTGGATATAAGAAACCTTTTCCTCTTTTCTCAAGCTACCTATAATTCATAACAATTTAGTAGATTACACTTTTATAAACAGAACTGAAGCATTTATCTTTTTACTCCTCACATGATCCCTCCAGAATTTGGAAATTCTTATTGAATATTTTTATTTTCATGGCAATATAATTATTTGCATAAGCTTAATAATTATCTGTCCTCCTTTGTAAAAGTCTCAAGTTTCAGTCTGAAATGTCGGTTCTTGGTGTGCTCATGGCTGAAGAATGACCAGACATGTCAAAGTAAAGCAAGCACAAAAATGAGGTTTATTGAGGAGAGAAAGATAGGATAGAGCAAGAGCAAGACATAGGTTTATAGAGCATGATACATACGCCACAGATGACGACTGGACCCACTGTCGCAGCAAAAGGACAGCCAAAGGAAGGGCAAAGAGAGCCTGGTTATGGTCTGTGTCTTCTCTTACAGTGCCCAGATTGGGCCCTCCCCCTTGTTCAAACATCACCATGGAACCACTTTGATTGGAGATATGTGACCTGAGGCTTACTGCACATGCAGATCTCCCATGAGCTTCTCTGAGAGCCCATTTTGGGGGGGTGTGGTGAATCACAGCAGCACCCACTTTTGTCCCTAGGAGACCTGGGATCCCTTGCTAACTTCCTAACAAAAGGAAATGATTGGAAGAATTGATTATATAACAAAGGCTTTGATTGGAATGTAATATTTGATATTGAAGTGCATAAAATCATATGTGATCAGACAGCTTCAAGGAACTAAGGTTGACTTTATAGAGCCAGTGCTTATAAAGCGCTCATGGAAACACTGGCCTGATTCCTAGAGTAAAGGGTTCCCAGCCATATAGGTAAGTAAGGAGGGTCACTTCCTGGAAGGCCCAGGACCCTTGGAATATTTTGGCAACCTTGAGAAAAGGGGAATTTACCAAAATCTATAGGTATTACAGGTGAAGAAAGATGGTGAATTCTAGGCTTGGCTTCCCAGCCTTGAGAAGCTTTTAGAAGTCCAATCTGAGAATCCTTACGAAAAGTTCTAGCAGAGAAAACTTAAAAAGATCTATGCAGTCAGTTATCATTCTTGCTTCACTTAAGTTATAATAAGGCCAAATAAAATGAAACCAAACTCGTTTTGTCAGCAAGAACAATGTTACATTGATTATCATTTATCAAAAATTAGGTTGACTGTAGAGAGAAAGTTTGTTTCAGTGGAAAATTATATCCCACCCTTATGGGTTATCAGATTCTAGTCCTCTTGATTGTCTTTGAGTTACTTCCATCTCTTTGTAAACTAGGTCTTGCCATTTTGTATATTTTGTCAGTAATTAACAGTCCCAAATTTTCTCCCATCTTCCTTATTTGGCATCACTGAGAACTAAAACTGCCCTTTTCCCAAAGCCCTGGAAAGCAAAAGCTCAATGATGATACAATCATCAAAAGATTCATTACTGCAACAGTTTGGGCCACTCAAAAAGTTCATGCTTTGCTCCAGAAAATAATCATAACTATAGCCCTTCCACTGCCGCCATCCTCACTTAAGATGCTGTGAGCCCAACATCTAGAATCCTCAATGGGCTATCTTATGTACTCAGAAACTGGGTTTATAGTCTGCTCTAACCATTAATCGTTTTATTTTTCTTGTTTTTCTGTCTGTTTCCTCATTCTCATCTATGCTCTATTTCCCCTTTGCAGATATTATATTCACAATTTCTAACCTGAATCTTTTCCCCACAGCAATCAACCTAACTTCTTTTTGTAAAACTTCTAGGGAAGTTTCAGATGGGGAAAATGTGGAGACCTCTGGATTCCCAGACTTGGTATAAAGATTATTTTAGAGTGAAAACATTTGAGCTAAATAAGATGGAGAAGAAAAAATCTTTTCTAAACTTCCCTAATCTTACTAGAACAGAGCTTTATCAGAGTCAGCTGGCACAGCCCACCCCCCCCCCCCCCTCCAGGGTGGTCTCCAGTCAGGGAGGCACTGACCTTGGGCACCAGGACATTCCAAAAAATTAATAAAAACCTTTCAGAACCTTT